AATGGGAGGATCAAATTGTAGTGGTCCATATAGGTATTAATGAATTAGGCAGAATGAGGATCTGGACACCATATCAAACAGGAGAACTTCGGGGTAATAATTTGCCAGGTTGAAGAGGGCACACAGGATTAAAGTGTGAAATGAATACATGTCTTAAAGACTGATTTGAGAGAAGTGGGTTGTGGTCTGAGGAGCAGTGGCACTGGTAGTGGGGAAAGTAGGAACTGTTCCATTGGGAGAGTCTGGACCTGAATCATGCTGGAGCCAGTGCAATTCAGAACTAGGGAAGTAGAAAGGGCTTTAAACTATGTTCAAAAAAAAAGTGGGGTATCATGCTCAGGTAGAGGTGATAAATCAAAGGGTAAAGTCAAAACAGGGAAACCAAGTAGTTATGGGAAATGACAGACAGAGAAAAGAAAACACAACTAAAAGGCTCGAGATCAAAAAGTATGCAACATTCATAACAAAGTATAAATATGATTTGATAGCCATTTTGGAAGTGTGACTGAATGCTGATGCAGATTTGGTCCTGACTATTAAGGAGTACATGACATTCAAGGAAAATGGGGAGGTGGGGAGAGTTGCATGGTTAGCCAAGGATAGCATTGGTATGATAGTTGGAGATTACCTCAGTTCAGAAGATCAGGATATAAAATCGGAAGTGAAGGATAGTCAGGAAAGAAATCACAAGTAGAGTTTGTCTACAAGCCCTCTAAAAATAACAACAATGCAGGACAAAGTATATGGAAGAAATAGCGGGTGCATGTGATAAAGGGACTGAAAAATTATGGGTGATATTAAACTAAACACAAATTGGAAAAAAAAAACATTTTGGATGAGGAGTTCATAGAATGCTTTCAAGACAGTTTCTTAGAGCAGCATGTTCTGGAACCAACGAAAGATTTGGAATTGTGTAATGCAATAGGATTAATTAATGACATCAGAGTAAGAGCATCGCTGGTAGCAGAGATCACAACGTAATTAAATTTTACACTCAGTTTAAAAGGAAGGAAGAGTGAGTCTACTACTAGTATTTTAAACTTAAGTAAGGGTAACTATGTGGTCACATGGGGGAGGCAATGGCCTAGTGGTATTATCGCTGGACTGTTAACCCAAAGACCCAGATAATGTTCTAGGGACCCGGGTTCAACTCCTGCCTTGGCACATTGTGGAATATGAATTCAATAAATATCTGGAATTAAGAATCTAATGATGACCATTAGAATGACCATGAACCCATTGTCAATTGTTAGAAAAACCCATCTGGTTCACTAATATCCTTTCGGGAAGGACATCCTCCCCCATCCTCACCTGGTCTGGCTTACATGTGACTCCAGACCCAAAGCAATGTGGTTGACTCTGAACTGCCCTCTGGGCAATTAGGGATGGGCAATAAATGCTGCCTAACCAGCGATGCCCACATCCCATTAATGAATAAAGGAATAAAAAAGAAAGCTGAACTAGCTGAAGTGAACTGGGATATTAGACTAGCAGTTGGGAAACAGTGGTAGACATTTAAAGGGATATTTCAGAATACTCAGAAAAAGCATTTTCTGACAATTTTCAGACATAATGTTTTTCTGATTGAAGAAATTAAGGAAAGCATCAAACCGTAGCAAAAAGCATATATAAGTACAAAGATAACAAGTCAGATGATTGGACAAAATATAAAGAATTACAATGGCAAAAAGGGCAATCAGGAGAAAAAAATTAGAGATTGGGAGGAAGCTAGCTGTACATATAAAACTGATAGCAAGAGTTTCTACTGGCATTTTAGAGGAAAACAGTATGTAAAGTGAGGGTTGATCTTCAAGAAAGTGAGAATGGGGAATTATTGGTAGATAATAAGGAAATGACAAATTAAATGAACAAAGATTTCACTTTCACCTTTACTATAGAGGCTACAAAAAACCAGTCCAGCAACAGGTGTGAGAAATGTATGAGAGAGAGAGGAACAGTGAAATGGTACAGAGCAAACTGATGGAGCTGAGGGTTTACAATATGACATATTCTTCCTTCGTATTGGCTGTATCTACAATTTGGCAGCATCTAAAAACTTAGTACTGAGGGCTGGATTTTTGTAGATACAGGACAACACTGGGGCCATTTAAAATTTGTGGACTGGACCTAATTCTGGGTTTCCTGCTCTCCACCAACAATTTTAGCCAGTGCAGGAAGAGACTGCACACTGCATCTCCTCACCTAGCTAGTTCTACTTGCTTGGAAGGGGTGAGAGACAGTCATCTCCTTGCCTGCTGAAATTTTCATAGACTCAGGCCAGCTTTTCTATGACTCAGCCCTTCAGATGGGTCATGAACCATTATCTAGATTTAGCAACCATATGAAAGGTACGTTCTGAAGGTCTTCCAGTTGCCTCCTCTGGTCCTTCATAGTCTCATCATAGTGCCAACTTATAACCATTCCACGTTTAGTCAACCAGTATGCATTATGTATATAGAGTCATACAGCATGGAAACAGACCCTTAGGTCCAACTCGTCTGCATCAACCAGGCATCCCAATCTGACCTAGTCCCATTTGCCAGCATTTGGCCCATATCCCTCTAAACCCTTCCTATTCATATGCCCATCCAGATGCCTTTTAAATGTAATTGTTGTAATTGTATGCGCCTCGACCATTTCCTCTGACAAATTCATTCCATATATGCACCACCCTCTGCGTGAAAAGGTTACCCTTCAGGTCCTTTTTATATCTTTCTCCTCTCACCTTAAACCTATGCCCTCTAATTTTGGACTCCACCACCCTGGGAAAAAGACCTTGGCTATTCACCCTATCCATGCCCCTCATCATTTTATAAACCTCTATGAGGTCACCCCTCAGCCTCCAGTGTTCCATGGAGAAAATTCCCTGCCTATTCAACCTCTCCCTCTAACTCAAACCCTTCAGTCCCAGCAACATCCTTGGAAATCTTTGCTGCAGCTTCTCAGGTTTAACAAAATCTTTCCGAGAGAAAGGCAACCAGAACTGTATGCAGTATTCTAAAAGCAGTCGCACCAATGTCCTGTACAGCACAACATGATGTCCTAACTCCTATACTTGATGCACTGACCAAAGAAGGCAAGTGTCCCATTGTATTCTAAAATAATCTTCTTCACTGTCCACTACATCACCTGTTTTGATTACATCTGCAAAATTACTAATCATACCTTCAATATTCACATCCAAATCATTTATATAAATGATGAACAACAATGAACCAATAATGATCCTTGTGGCAAACTGCTGGTCACAGGCCTCCAGTCCAAAAAGCAACTCCCTCCCATCACCCTCTGTCTCCTGCCTTCAAGTTAATTTTGTATCCTATTGGCTAGCTCTCCCTAGATCCTATGTATAGTTCATGTAACAACTGAGCCACACTACAACAACAGATTGTATGGGACTGACATGAACAAAAAGTATGTCCAGAAAGTCACTTTAAAAGAAACTGCTGTTCTTCCAACCTTATAAAATGTCAATCAGACAGCACAATAAAATAACACTAACAGAAGCTTCAAACACTTCACACCTCTTAATCCTGTCAAAATAAATAATGCAACATTGTGATCTTTATGTGATCTCTTTTGTCATTCATCTATTTGTCATCTTTCGCCCACAATGTGGTCTCTTTTCAAAATCTAGGTTAATGTGTTAGATGTCTTTCTCTAAAGTTTCTATTACCTTTTCAAAGAGTTTGGTCAGGTTCTTTAAATGAAATTTCTGAAGAAGGGTCTAGGTCCAAAACGTCAGCTTTCCTGTTCCTCTGATGCTGCTTGGCGTGCTGTGTTCATCCAGCTCTACACCTTGTTATCTTACATTTTGATGTGTTTCTGGCTCCATCATTTCTTCATAAATAGAGTTTTCTTTCTATCACTGACTTTGAGATGGCCTTGTTATTTCCCCTTTCTACCATTTTGCATCTGAACAATAATACATACACCTGAGCCCTGTAGCATTATCCACTTTTAAAATAATCTATTATAGATGCAAACAACTGTCAATGTTACCTCCTTTCCAATTTCATAATGACATATATCATTCAGACTTATGCTCTCATCTTTTAGTTTTGTTAATTTTTTTAGATAATTTCTGTCATTTCACCCCAATTCTCTTAATAGTAAATTAAACTCATCCTCCAGTGAAGTGATCCTCTGGAGCTATTTATTTGATAATCACAGCATTTTCTTTCATATTTACGATGCTGTAGTAATGAAAGTAGGGAAAGGGACCTTAAAAATGTTTTCAATACTAGAACAATTCATCACATAGAACAAAGAACAAATATAATCGATGTGAAACAACGAGAAGAAATAGATAAATAGCACTGCCACTTGTTAACTAATCCTTTTCCTCTCGAATTTGTTTAAAGACACATTGGCTCCCTGCATCAACAAATGTTAATTATCTTCTTATTGCTTACATGGTAATGATCAGTGTTCAATTCATCCCTCTTTATTCTTTATCCTGAGCCACGTGCTGACCTGCATCTACGTTCATCATTTGGAACTTAAATAACTTAGTATTATCCAGGAAAGGGTTAAACTCAGGATTAAAGAAATGTACATATTGAGATACTTCAACAAGGTGGTTATGTCACCCATGATACCTGCAATGACTGAGAATAATATCAATACAATATCCCAATAATTCATGAAACACTCACTTGAATATGCATGTTCACCAATTGATAACACTGTACCAAGTAAATAGAATAAATTATTCTTGTCATATATGAAGAAAAATAAACAATCATGGATTAGACTTTCTTCTTTGTGCTTGGGCATTGCGAGAATGGGAACAAATAGCCATGAATGGTTGTAAATGATCACAATATGATTATTAAATGTCCAAATGAGAAACAGGAAGTGATACCCAGTCAAACCTTTCCGTTTTATTTTAGAAAACATATTGCTGAAGTACGTAAAGTTCAACTGAAAATGATGAAAAAAAAAAAGCAATATCCTCAATATCTGTCTATTCCAGCTTGCTTTATGAATTCACTCACTGAAAGCTGTCCAGGTAGAACCTGAGGGGCATCTTTCAGAGCTCCAGGACTAGTCGGAGAAATGACTGAAATGCACGGTCGTTCCATCTTCTGTGACTCAAAGGAACTTGAACCTATAAAAGGTGAAACATCATTTACTTCTGTTATTACATGTGGCTATGTGTCTTACATAGAAGTATTGCATTACCAACATAGATATAAACCTGCATTTATAGTATTTGTTGAATTCTGTCTTCCAAGGCCTATTATTATTAACATTCTTAAGTATAAAGCCTTCAAAATAACTCAAAGCCAGGAAATAAATCAAAATAAACAAAATCTTTATTTCACAATGAAGTTCCAACTCACCTCTCAAAATATCATTTATAACTGAGGCATAACATACAGACTTTTTTTAAGTGAGATAAAATAACTCTTGGAAACTTGATGAAACAGTCTTTTAGACAGACATCTTTCATGACTAGGACTCGGAGCTCCATTCAGCTCAAAGTAATACCGTGAAAGTCTTCTTCAAATTTTTGCAGCAAGGGCCCTATTAACGGAACATGAATCCGGGGCAGTGTCATATCCCCAAGTTCGTAGCAGAAACGTAGACCCAATTTAGTGATTCAGAAAATTGTGTCTTAATATCTGCCAATGTAATAATTTTTATGAAAAAATTGAATTGGATGTTATGCAAAAAAAAACCCAGGAAGGGCACTTTAAATACTGGGTTTGACTTGACTCAGCCTAGACCTGGTCTCTGCCATCTTCCTGCACAGTGTCACATTCACTGGGGATACTGGTCCTTGCGCACCTACTCGTTCCCCAGTTATTTAAATTGGAGATTCTCACAGATGTGCTTGAATCCATCAAACCCACCAAACCCACCCTATTGTTGTTTTTCCTACATTTTTAGAATCCTTCACTGAACTTTTTTTTTGAGAACAGGATCTTGCATAAACCAAACATTGGGCGTTATGGTTTGAGGTTGGTGAACCCAGGGGGTGTGGGCAGGGTTGCATGTGGGCACATGCTTGTGCTTAGGTGGTAGAGTGTGGGATGTGACTGTAGTAAGGATTTTGCCTCGGGTTTGCACAGGTTTGGGTTGGGGGTGTAGTGAGATGTTGGGGATTGGGATGGAGTGTGGAGAGAGGATATGGGGCAGGGGTTAGGAGGTGCAGATGGGCAAGGTAAGAGTAGCTTGTGGGATGGGGAACAGGTTAGCAGATGGTCCCTGGGAAATCACAAAGAAAATATCCCAGAATGTTTTAGTATCACAACCTATGGCTTGGAGTTTTCTGAACAAGACATCACTGGACTGCCTATCAGCAGTGTTCCTGTCTGCACTCTCCATTCAAATTATTTGCACTGCACCCACTCTCTTCTGACTCTGTCTTATCTGTTTCTGTCTATTGCTGCCGTAACTGATCTACTGTCTAAGACTGCAATGTGGAGCAATCGTGCATTTTAATAACAATTACAAACACTTGATTATATATGAGTAGAAGAATCTCTAAGTTAATAATCATTGCAGTTGGTCAAACCCAATTTTTTAGGTACCAAACCTTTTCTAAGGCTCAAGCGAAAAGGAACATCAGCAAGGTATAATCTAAGTGTTAATAAGCAGAGTTTGAGGGGAATACGATGTCGAGTCAATATCTTTCAGTGCCATGGGCAGAGATAAGCTATTTCGTGGAAGCCACGTTCAGTACATTACTTTGGGTTCCCATGAGGGTTTCCACCAACTTTAACTCATTTTTCATCAATTAATATTCATCACTAAATAATAGAATAAAGAAGAACTAAGAACAATACAGCACAGTAACAGGCCCTTTGGCTCTCCTAGCCTGCACCAACACAGTTTGCCCTTCCATACTAAAACTGTCTTCACTGACAGGATCCATATCTCTCTATTCCCTTCCTATTAATGTATTTGTCCAGGTGCTTCTTGAATGCTGCTATTGTGTTTGCTTCCACGACCTCCTCAGGCACCATGTTCCAGGCACTCGCCACCCTTTGTGTGAAGAACTTGCCTCACACATCTCTTTCAAAACACCACCCCCCCACCCCTACATCTTGAACCTGTGTCCCCTAGTAGTTGACCCCTCCACCCTGGGAAAAAGCCTCATACTTTCCACTCTATCTGTGCCATTCACAATCTTGTAAACTTCTACCAGGTTGCCCATCAACCTCCTGCATTCCAGTGAAAACAAACCCAGTCTATCCAAGACAACAAGGTGCAGGGCTGGACGAACACAGCAGGCCAAGCAGCATCACAGGAGCAGAGAGGCTGACGTTTCGGGCCTAGACCCTTCATCAGGAAAGGGGGAGGGGAAGGGGGTTCCGAAATAAATAGGGAGAGAGTGGGAGGCGGATAGAAGAGGGATAGAGGAGAGGATAGGTGGAGAGGAAACAA